AACAATAAAAAATAAACTAAATCTATTAAAAATAAATAGATGGAGTAACTTGTTGGTTGCTTAGAAATTCAAATAAAATTTAAAAAAAAAAAGGGTGGGACTCCATTAATTTAATGGGCAAAGAAACAAAATTTCAAAGACTGAAGAAAAAAGGATCATCAATGGCGGCCGAATGGTAGCTGTAGAAAATTTAATCCATTCGCCACTGTATCCCATAAAGATGATGGGATTGAATTTTTCTCATGAAGATGGGATTGGACAATATTCCTTATAATATTCCTTTATTTTATATCGTGTAGTCATAACTTCGATGAAATTAGACACTGTAAAAAAAGACCAACTTTATTACCTCCCTACCTGATTTCTCCAAGTTAATATTGAACTAATTTAGTTTAATCACGCAAGGATATGTGTGTGTATATATATATATATATTTATAAGAATTTAAATGAATTTAATAAAATCTATATGAATTGGTAGCTAAAACTTATTCATTTAAAGGGATGTATCTTAGTTGGTAAAAATATTAATAAATAAATAATTTTTTATAAATTTTTTAATTTTAATATATATAATTTATTTTTTTATCAAATCAAGTACATATAAATTGATTTGAAGGTACTTGATAGCTAATTCAAAAAAAGGTAAAAAGCTATCGTCACTTTTATTTTTTTAATGAATATTCCTCACTTTCTCATATGATAGCACAATTAATGGGGCAAGTCAATCCTCACAGTGAGTTTGATATCAGTTTCCGCTTGGTTTTATCTCTTCTGATGAAATGACCTAATAAGCAATGAAAGTTATCTTCCCATTAAAAAAAATGAACGATACATGTCATTTGAGCTGACAAAGGGCCATCCAAGTTTGAGCATTCCTCACTTCCATTCTATTACTCTTACGTAATCTTATGGCCTGAGTTCTGTTTGCTTTAGCCAGAAGCAACTTCTTTCATTCGTTTAATTGTTTGTTTATGGTCTTTTTTATTTTTTTTGGTTGCTTTTTCTAAATAATTGGAATAAGGATACCTCTCTTTTTGAATAAATAATAAAAAGCTCTATTGAACTATTTAATTTTATAAAAGTGAAGATTATTTATACATAAATTTTATATCTTATATTTATACAAAATTTTATCATTTATCTTTTTACTTTTAATAGTTAAAATTTATTAATATTTAATAAAGATAATTATTTTTTTATTTTAAAAATCATAATAAATTTTAACAATTGAAAATAAAAAAATAAATAATCAAAATATTATGTAAATATAATATGTAAAATTTATATGTAAGTGAATTTTTTTTTCATTTTCTAAACCTTTAAACTTCCCTTTCAATATGAACAATTAACTGTAATGTCAAGTTCAATAAGAAAAAGAAATCTCATAATAACTCACAAACTCACATGGCCATAATATTCAGGTGGTACTAATTTGAGGGTGTGGTTATTTCTACCATAAAAAAAAGTTAAGATTATTAAGTTTTTAATTCTTTTAAATAATATCTAAAAATATTAGTTTGTTAATTGATTTTAATTTGCTAGTTAATAAATATTAGTTATTTTATCAATTATTAATTAATAATCATAGTTATTAACTATTTTTTTCAATCAAATTAATTAAATAAAATTAACATTTATAAATATAATATTTTATAATTTTTTGTAACCTTAACATTTTGATTAGTGGTTATAACTCTGGTTATAACTCTGGCCCTAGTTTGATTAGCTATTTTCATGCGATGGTATACTTGATTAGTAATTATAAGGTTGAATTTATTAGTAAACAAATGTCATTTTATAATTAAATTCGTAATTTAAGTTTTAGAGTTAGCACTTAAAAAAATTAATTTTCATGAATATATTAATCTATATAACCAGTGTGCACTTATGATTACTTAGAAAAAAATTAGCTCTAAAGTGCATAAATACTTAAAAAGGGACATCCTCTCTGTAAATACAAAATATGAAAACGTTATTAGTGTTGTACTCCCTCCGACTCAAATTATTGTCATTATAATATATCATCTATAATGACGATAATGGAGTCCATTAATATTAATTAATTTCATATTAAGCAAGCATATGCATATTTTTATTTACATACTGAATAAAAAATAAATTATATTTATTATATACTAATTTTATTATAAAATAAAAGTTTTTTATTTTGTAATTTAGGCTCTTTATGTTATATTTTAAATTGTATCAAATTAAAAATAATGATTATTGAATGAAGAAAAAACTCCAAATATTAAAAATTACTCATATTTAATTATTAATGTTACACACTAACGATTTAAGTAATTCAATAATTATTTTTTTCGTTAAAAATAAGAGATTATGAATTCGAATTGTATAGCATATAAGTAGGATAAAATAAAAAATAAAAAATAATTATCTTTTATTATGTAATCAAGATAAAAAAAAATTATTAATGTTACACAGCAAACTGTGGTTTCATAAAATAATATTGTCTTGAATAATTTTCCTAAGAAAAATAAAATAACTAACATATGAATTTTCGGTAAAATAGTAAATCTAAGATTTGATGACACCATGACATTAAACTAAAACGTGTTGACCACTTGACCTATATTAGGTAACACATACGCAACAAAATCATCATTAACTAACTTAGTTGGCATTTAGATCCCTAAAAAAAATCTAAAATGAGAGGAAAATCATTAAACATCGTAACAAACATTTTTATATATATTCTTTTCTTTCTTTTTCATTTTTTTTTTCCTATGGGATAATGTTATCCCACTTGACCAAAACCTTAATAATATCAATTTTTCCTCCCTTGATACAGTTACCATCTTGTCAAAAGAGTCAAAGAAAAACCCAATGAGAAACTTCCACCTGATCTTTAAGAAGACGCGTCACAAGATGAATAGTTTACCAAAAAATGATAAAGAAAAAGTAGTAATTCGATTTGCTAATAAACAAGAAGCTGAGGAGGGAACAGCCATAATTCTATTAATCCATGTTTTCACATGTAAATACTCAATACCCTCCAGAAACCAAAAACAAGCACAGAAACACACTCGATTTGGTGTAATTATTTTGTTCCTTCAATTGTTCAACTTTCTCTCTGTTTCTACTGTTTTCTTGTGTTCTTGAGGCGAGTTTTGATTTTGGGTTTCGGCCATGGCGGATGATTCGTATGAGGAAGAGTGTGATTACCTTTTCAAGGCGGTTCTGATTGGCGACTCGGCGGTCGGGAAATCGAACCTTCTGTCGAGGTTCTCGAATGATGAGTTTCGATTGGATTCTAAGCCGACTATAGGGGTTGAATTTGCTTACCGGAATGTTAAAATTGCAGACAAGATCATCAAGGCTCAAATATGGGACACCGCCGGCCAAGAAAGGTAAGTCGTCTTTCCTTTCTCGCTTTTCTTTCATCATGTTTTGAGAGTGTTTGATGAAATGACTAATTGAATTTATCTGATCATCGCAATATAGCTTCATATATATATAGTGAGATGATGGATCCCTGCATCTTTTTCACTGTAGTTCTCGAGTCAACTCAGCTCAAATTACCAGCTATATGATTATAACTAAATTGCTAATTTGGAGAGACTAAATTTGATTTATGTTTGTGGGATTGGTCGGGGCAAAGTCCCAGACACTTACATTAAAAAAAAAAATTTGATTCATGTTTGATGGTAGTCATAGGAAAGATTATTGTACAATCTAGATTATATTAAATTACATAAATAATAACCTTAAAATAAGGTAGGCGTGAATTTGAAAACCATCACATATTATGGTTTTAGGTTTGTAATCCAGCACACATGCTCCGACATAATTTGAATTAAAAAACCTCAAACTCGTAATTAAGTCTAATTCTGAAATTAGTGTGATGAAGATGATTAGCGGTTTAGACGGTTGTGCGACTGGGACCTAGAGTTGTGTAGAGATATCTTTTTTCAACTTAAATTCATGATGACATACACTAGATGAAAATTATGTCCACTATTGAGTAATTGGTAGAAAATGCGCAGCACAACAAATGAACTCTGTTTGCCCTTTCAATCCTGCTCTGTCTTTACTTGATGAATGGAAAGCTTGGTGCTGGCGTCCAAATGTGATTCTACTGTTTGACATGTGAGATGATAGTCCTTTCGAATATGGGAAAACTATTTTTTTTTCTCTTTTAATTTGAAGTTGCATAAAGCAATGCAACTCTCTCTTCTCTTTTTATTCATTGCCTCTCAACTGTGTACCTACAAAGGATCTTTTGCTCCACCAAGAATAAATATAGTCACTAAATCGCTTAGGTTGATGGTGAACATGAGGAAGCATAGGGCACAAGTAAAATCATTATTAATGAACACGAGATTTATAGTTGACGATTGTTTTTTTCACGGTGACTTGGAATTGACGATCACCAGTTTCAAAAAACTTGAAATATGAAAAATGAATCTTCGAGCTAGGTACAAAATGGGAATGATAAGGAGTTCTGCTACTTCGATGGCACCCTACCGTATCAAGTGTTTCGGATACTTTATAAAAGATAAAAGGTCTGTTTACTAATGTTGTGTTATAGGATACATTGCTTGTCTTATAATTTAGACTATGTTGAATTCTAAAAATAAAAATTATTAGATAATGAAGGAAACGGTCAATATTATAAAAAAATCTGTATTCATTTAATAATTAAAATTGTGCAGTTTAAAATAGTTCAAATTACAAAATACTTTTTCATTATGGTATATATGTGTAGTCAGAAACTACTTATATACTTATATGTGTGTATTTCTTATATATATATATATATTTTTTGGTTAATTTTTAATTTCAATTGTCGAAATGATAATCTATCTTAACTCATAACATTGTCGTTTTTTCTTTTGATGTTGTTCATCTATTTTTATATTTTCTTTTATAGGAACTGATCTATTTATATTTATTTTCTGCAAGTTGTGCCTTTTTATTTATGCAAGGTTTATACCCAAATTAATTGCGGGGCTACCTACTTGTTGATTAATTCGATAGGGATTTGATTGAATGTTGGTAAAATAACATTTGAAGGTCGTTATCTGAGTTGTATTCAAAATATTCAATATTGTATTATTGTAGTAATTGCTGAATTTGATTTCCTAACTGAATCTAACAATATAAATAAGAGAAGCGACAGGAAACTACAAAAAAAAAAAAGGCATTAGGAAAATTACTACTCGCCAACGTACTAGATTGATGCTTAAATTCTAGAGGTCGGGACTTGGATGAAGAAGCTTCCTTAGGGTGGGGCACCATTGTGTTGTACATGTTATCTCCCTTAAGGAACGTCCCAGTTAAGAAGTTAAGGTTTTATATTATAGGCCTTAGATTTGAATTTTAGGATGGGTAAGGAGGGGTTAAAGAAGAAAGTTATCATTAATTTATTATATAATTCATTATCATATGTATAAAAATATATATATATATAGGATAAAGGTGTAATTATTATATTTTTTTAATAGTAATTAGTGTTAAAAAATAAAAAAAGGGTCATTAATTTCACTATTAGTATTACATGACTTATTTTAATTAGATAGTTATTTAAATAAATATTAATTTTTTTAATATTTATTAATATAAAAATAATCTAATAATTACATTCTTAAGACACAAGTTAAGAAAAAAAAAAGTATTGGGTTGTGTTATTCACATCAGCCAAACAAAATTTCAAGCCCGATTTGAATAGAATTTAGTTTAAGATCTTACAAGAGAATAATAATAACAGAAAAAATGCGGTTGTGTCCATTTTATCCAATGATTTATGTTATGTAATTTAATAAAGTTTAAACTATAAAATAAAAAATTTTAATAATAATAATAATAATAATAACTCTTATAAAAATGTTGTTACAATAAAATTATTCTAAAGTTATGAATTTTAAAATTTGATAACATTTACTAAATGTGTATTTGGTTTTGTTAATTTTATTATTTTATAATTTTTTTCCTAAAATAGCTTGTTAGGGTGATGTTTCCTTATGGTTTGATTTTTTTTTTTTTTTTTTTGGATCTTTCTGGAATTTGGATCCTTTTCCCTCTCAACCCAAAAAAAAAAAAAAAAAAGATTGTATATCTACTATTATTTAACAACTACAACTATTAACTATTTTGAACAATCAAATCAAATAAAATATCAATTTAGAAATTTAATACAAAAGTACTTTTCGATCATTTTTCATATACAAAACCCAAGAGAAAACATAACAAAAGTAGAGCCATGCACATGTGTACTTTCCTTTTAATCTAAAGAGTACCACTGATTGTTAAAGTGAAAGGAAAGAAAATCGAGTCCAAATTCCCCAACCTTATTTGAGCTGAATACAATTCAATGTTGCAGGTTTAGAGCCATTACAAGTTCATACTACCGTGGAGCCTTAGGTGCATTGCTTGTGTACGACATAACCAGGAGAGCAACATTCGACAATGTGAAGAAATGGCTCCGAGAGCTGAGAGAGTTCGGTAATTTGGACATGGTGGTTGTTCTTGTGGGCAACAAATGTGATTTAGGACAGTCCAGAGAAGTCGACGAGGAAGAAGGAAAGAACCTGGCAGAGTCAGAAGGTCTATGTTTCATGGAAACGTCTGCACTAGAAAACTTGAATGTTGAGGCAGCATTCCTACAGATGATCGGTAAGATACATGAAATTACAAGCCAGAAATGTTTGGAAGCGAAGACAAATGAAACCAGAACTAGTCTTCAACGTGGAAAAGAAATTATCAGTATTGATGAAGTGACTGCCACTAAACAACAGTACTCGACTTGCTGTTATAAGTGAACTAATATTATTTTTTGAGGACCATATGCGGGGGAAAATTTGATCTTTGATTTTAACATGGAGGAAATAGTTTGATTATATATAAAAAAAAATAAAATCGTGCGTGTTCATCTCATATCCATGCATTGTCAATTCAAAAACACAATCTTCTCATAACTATTTTAAAAAAACTAGCAATTATGTAAATTATGCAAATTAATTTTAAAAGTAAATCAATGTGCATGCTAATGTTTCTAATGAATTCCGTTTATAAGTCAAGTTTTTCGACTTAAACAATTTGTGGACCTGCTTCCATGACCAACAAAGCCTGGCAGCAGTGATGGAGTATGAAAGCAAGCATCGGTGGAAGTACATTATATAATAATTGGGCATAGGTTTTAACATAGATTTTAAAAATTCAAAAAATAAAAATATCTAAGTTAAGATTTTATAAACAATAATGTTAAAATTTTACTCTTAATTATTTTTAAGATAAAAAAAAAGCTTAAAAATCAAGTTTTAAAAAATAAAGGTTAAATATCAATTTTGATCTCTCAACTTTATAGTTTTGCATAATTTTCATCTTTAACTTTTTTATGCATTTTTTTTATCTTCAACTATGAAAAATAAACTTTTTCAATCCTTTCGTTAGTTAGTATATTAAGTCTGTTTAAATATGTAAATTTTTAACCTCTTAACTTAAAATATATGTACGTTTTTTGTCATTAAACTTTAAATTAGGAGACTAAAAATGTGTATATTTAGACAAATTTAATAAATTAATTTATAGAAAGATTAAGAAAATATTTTTCATAAGTAAGGAATTAAAAAAATACATAAAAAATTAAGGAATGAAAATTATATAAAATCTTAAAATTAAGAGACCAAAATTGACATTTAACCAAAAGTAAACGACTCCACCTTAATTGATGCCTGGTTGTGCCACTGAAGAGCCATTCTCATCATCTGTTTATTTCGAACGGGCTTCATTCTCGTTAGGTGTGAAGAAAGAAACCACTACCGGAGCAGATTCTGGTGGCAAGTTGGCATAAGGACCAGAAACAAATTCTTCCATCTGTCAATCATATCCTCAAAAGGCGTGAGTGCTCACGGTGGTTGCACCAAGGACATGCCAAAGGAGCAAAAGCAACCACAACACCAAAGTCCACATATGCCGGAGGGAAAATGCTTCAAAGCCTTACCTTTTCACATTGCAGGTAGGGATGACAATTTGCCCTGATCCTTTCGAGGCCCCACGGGGATCCCTGTAGAGGGGACAGGGGGCATTTCCCCCTCGTGAAATTTTGTAGGGAATTTTTCCTACCTCGTAGGGTTCCCATCCCCACAAAAACATAAAAAGAAAATATAAATTAATTTTATTTTAAATTTAATATAATTTTAAAATCTAAACCCAATTCAAAAAAATTTAACCCAACCTAACCCAACCCAATCCTTTTAACCGTAAGCAGCTTTATTCATTTCTCCATTTCTCTAGTGATTGCCTCTGCCTCTCACTCTCGGACTCTCTCACACTCACTTAAGTCATCTTCCACCTTCCCTTTTGGCCCTCCCCTACAAATCTCAAACCCTAAATCCCTCGATCCCTTCATTGCCGCCTTTCTACCCTTCTCTATTTCACATCTCACCCTTCTGCCTTGAACTGAAGTCTGGATTGTTGCTGCCAAACCAAATCCGTCTAAGACTGTTGCTGTGCCACTGTTGCTGTGCCACTGCTACTATGCCACTGCTGCTGCACCACGGCTGCTGTTGCTGCACCACTGCTCTGCAACTGCTGCACCACTGCTCTACAACTACTGCGCCATTGCTCCGCCACTGCTGTGCCACTACGCCGCCACTAATGCGCCACTACTCCACCATAGCTACTGCTGCGCCACTATTGCTGTTGTTGCTCAAAGTCAAAGTGGAAGTGTATATTTAGATATTTTGGTGGGGAATGGGGACGGGGGCAAAATCTGTCCTTCGTCAAAAATCCCCGCAAGGATCCCTGTCCCCGTCATTCGCAGGAACGGGGACGGGAGGGACTCTCCGGCCCTGTGGCCCTGCGGGGCCCCGTTGACATCCCTAATTGCAGGTAGTACGATACTTTTGATCTTCTCCCAAAAGAACACCAAAAAATCTGTCAAGAGCAGATATGAGTTTCAATCAATAAATTTGTAATATAGTGACTCATCTCAATAGTAGGCACTTGTGAGGTCGTACACGGTGCCAAGCATCAAGGGTGCCACTACCAAAGTGATAAGGTGGTGACTCTTTAATGACGGAAGGGCAAGTAATCAAGCTAAGACTAGTGACTTATCTTATACTATAGTTCTATGAGTTGATCATTGTAAGTGTGATTTATCCCCTAAAATTTGAAAAAAATTGTAATGTGAGTCCAAATGATTAATAATAACTTAAGAATATAAAAATATACTAATGAATTAATTAATTCAGTGGTCATCTCCTTTCATTAGAAATAAGAGGTGTTGAATTCGAGTTGCATAGCAAATTGGTGAAATGAGATAAGGGATAGGAGATGATTGCCTCTCATTGTGCAACCAAGGTAAAAAAAAAAAAAGAATATAAAAATATTGTATAATTTAAATTATATTATAATATTAATATATATTAATTTTGACTTTTTAAAAAATTACAATTTTAATTTATATTTAAAAATCAAAATTTTAATTTAAAATTTAAAAATTCATTTTATTAAATCAGATACTTAAATTTAAAAATTAATTATATATTATAATATAATTAGTTTTTAAATTTAAATATTAACATGAGCTTTTAAAATTTAAATTAAGTTTTAATTAAATAAAATAACTTAATTTAAAATTAAAATTTTTATTTATTTTAAAAATTATGACTCATATATATTTTTTTCCCTTATTTTATATAATATAAATTTTAAATAATATAAATTTTAATTAATAATTCATATTTTAATTTAATATAATCAAAATTATAAAATAGTGGATGAAACTCAAAATTTTCATAAAATATAAAAGCGAAGAATAAATTCAATTTGGTAAAGAGTCGCAACGCCTTTCACTTGACGTTATGGTATCCTTCCACATGTGTTGACGTGATGTATTTATTGTCGAAATAAACAACCAAAATTTAAGTTATTTTATTAAAATGTATATTTTTTAATAAAATTTTTAGTATTTAAAAGTTCAATTAGTTATTAATTAATTTAAAATTTACTAATGTAAGATTTTACAAGAAAGAAAGTTTTTTTAATATTTATTTTTTTATTTATAAAATTTTAATTTAAGTTTTTATTTAAAAAATTGAATTCCTTTTTTCTTGAACTAATTGATTCTTCATTACTTTCTTAAAAAGTATTTAAAAACATCAATTTAATAATTAATTTTAATTTGTTAACTATTAATAAATATTAGTTATATTATCATTTATTAATCAATAATAATCATTTTTACAAATTAATTTAAGCGAAATTAATATTTTTAAAGCGCAAGATTTTTCAGTTTAAGTTTGGGTGACCATGACGCTATTGTTAGTGGCAAAATTTCTGTCTGTGACGTTTGTCCATCACAGACGAACCAGACCCCGTCCCTGTGTTAATTACACCGCCACTTTCACGACCAAACCGTAAATATAGCACTCACTCTAAATCTTCTTCCTCCTCCCTCCGTTCCATTCCGCCTCTTCAACTCCAACTATTTCACCAAAACCAGAAATCGAAGGGGCGTTACCATTCTAAAATGCACCGCGTGCGTAACTAGTGCTCGCCTTCGATCTTTTCGTTGGAATTACGCTGAGAAAAAAAGAATCAAATGGCAAATTGGATCTCCTCGAAGCTCAAAGCCGCTGAAACAATCCTTCAACAGGCATTTTTCTCATCCTTTTTCTGTTTGCGCAGGCGAATATGTGTTTGCATTACTATATTTCTTCGGATTTTGTTTTGGTTTGTTTGGTTTCCTGGAAAACAGTGTAAAAGGGGAAGTTGAAACACGAACTTTGTGGATTTGATTGTATATTGATCGATCTGGTTTCATTTCATCGCTTTATCTGTAGTTCGTAGCATTATTTTCAGTGATTTTGAATTTCTTCTGAGTAATTTTGATTTAATTGTTTGTGAAATAACTCAGATCGATCAGCAAGCGGCGGAGTCGCTTGGGAAGACTGAGAGGTCTGGATCGGATGAGTTGAAGTTAGATACTTCAACGAAATCGAGTGGTGTTGTTTCTTTAAAGGATCAGCTAAAGAAGAAAACGCAGAACAACAATGATTACCAAGGGAAATTAGATAGTGATTCTAATGTTAACTCTGTTCATAGTAATAATAGTTATGTGAATACTCAAAGTCGGGAGAAAGAGATTGCTAGTTCTCCAAATTCTTCACCTACACCGAAACCTAAGGCTACTCTTACGGATAGTGATTGGACTGAACTCCTTGGTACATCTAATCAGGGAACAAGCCCCTCAGGGAAGCGGAACAATGTGGTGTCTGTGATTCGTGGGTTGAGGAAAGATGGTAAGAGGCCAGGGAGTTCAGTGCTGGAGGCAAAGAGGAATCAGAAGAGTAGTAGTAATGCGGTTAAGTATGTTAGGAGGTCCGACATTGCATTGGGAACTAAGTTAATTGGGAAGCCAAGTGATGGTGAAGAGTCTAGCTCTTCCGGGAGGCCTTCAAGTGTTGATATGCAGAATGATGGTAAGAACTCAGAAGGGCTAGCATTGGATAAAGTCTCAGTCACAAACCTTTCAGGAGAAAGAAAAGATGAGATGGTTGAAGAAAATGGTGGATCAAATTCTAAAGACCTATTATTGGATGGTCTTTCATTGTCTCTAAGCAAGAATCACTCTTTGGAAAAGCTGGCAGGAATGGGAAAAGTTGCTGGAGCATCTGATGGGAAGACAGAGGTGGCTGATGCATGTAATAAGCTAAGAAGTTCTGTAAAAGAGAAAACCAAGTCCAATGTTGCAGTCACTATGGCAGTTGCTAATGATTTAAAAAGAAGCTCTTCTTTTACAAGTAATGGAAGCTCTGATTCCAATACAGATTCTGGTTCAACATCTGACTCTGAAAGCGAGCGTGAGAGGGAGGAAAGGAGGAGGAGGAGGGAGAGGCTTCTAGCTGAGAGAGCAGCAGCTAAAGCTGGGGAGGCCATCAAAGAACGCGAGAATATTGTTGCCAGATTGGAGGGGGAGAAGCAGAGTTTAGAGAAAATACTTGAGGAACGAGCCAAACAACAGGCACAGGAGGTAACAATACACAGCGTTTGATGATATTAACATTTTTACTGCTATATATGTTTTTCTTCCTTAGTATCGACCCAGAACTCAGTTTTGCTAGTTTGAAACAATTTACAAGAGCTCCAATCAAATCTGTCAAAGCCTTCTTTTCTTTTATATGTTAATGTCTGCTGTATCATTGGTGGTGAAACATTGATTTTTTTTACATTTTATGTTGCATAATCCAAATCCTAGGCAACCTACTTGATATGGATGATATGTGTTCCAGCTTGTTTTCTTGAAGATGGTTCAAGCCTAATTTATTATGTCCTGGAGTTTGTCCAACTATGGAAAAAGCTTGGAAAATGCTGCATCATACATTTTCATTTGCTTTTTTTAGGGTAAAAAGAGAATATAACTATATAACCTTTGCTACATCCTTTTCTTCCTCATGTTCTTTGGAATTAACTGCTATAATCATCTTCTTACTTCAGGCTTCGGAGCTGCAGACAACTATGATGGAAATGATGGAAGCTGTTGAATTAGAAAAACAGAAACATAATAATACTCGAATGGAAGCCCTCCAACTATTGGCTAAACTAGAGGTGCTGGAACATGTTTCAGATGACTATTTCACAATTTTAGGCTAAATTCCACTTTTGTTGCCCGTCTTAATGACCTTTATTACTTGTGTGCCTGTGTTTAAAAGGTTCACAGCGCACCTATTGTTCACATTGTTTCCTTCTGTGCATGACACCTGTTAATTAATTTGAAATGCTAGTGCCCTTCTCAAATATTACCCATGTGATTGAGTAGATTTCACTTATGCACCTGTGGGAGGGTGTTTGGGACTTTTAAATTAATTCTAGTAGTGTCATGCTCAAGGAGGAAAGAGGTTGCTTCAGCCGCACAAGTGTAACATTGCATAAGTGAAAACATCAAAACCAGGGGATGCAAGAGTGAAATTTACTCTTTGATTTTACATATACAGTTTAATTCCCTTTCTTTCTTTCCTCTTTTTTTTTTTTTTCCTGTGTTGGGAGGGGCGTGGGGGTGTTTGTCTGCAATCCTTGGTGATGATGCTTTCTGTTTTTTGGTTTCTTGAGCGTTTGATGCTGTTTCTAAAGATTTCCGGTGATTGCAGACTGCAAATGCTGATCTTGCAAAGTCACTTGCTACCATGCAGAAGAAACTTGAACTAGAGGTGTGATGAAATCTATTTAATTTCCCTGATTTACCCTATCTTCCTGTTGCAGTTTTTTATCAAAAGAAAAGTTTTAGGGTGTAATAATACTGTAGATGATGCCTCATTGGATCATGGCCACCTTTTGTTTTCTCCAACTTCTTATTTATAAGAGAAAAAAGGAACACTTATAGAGCGGATGATACATTGATGTATTTTGATCAATATCCATTTCCATTGTGAGAGAATAGAATTGCAAATCCCCACTTTATACCATCATTAATATATTTTTATTTATTTACTTTTTCTTGCTTTGTAACCCAGATTGATCAAGTAGCAGAACTTCGGCAACAAATAGAGTTGAAAGAAGCAGCACATGAAGGTATTCTTTCCATTTGATTTGGCTATATTCTTGATGGTCAGTTTATTTTTATCTTACTATTTCAGGAATCAGAAAAAGGAAAAAAATGCCATTTCAAACCATCCCCCTTAAAAGAAAGAAAGTGATAAGAATTTTTGCTGTATGGAAAAAGACTAAAAGAGAAACCAAAAAGAGTACAAGCTATAAATGTAATCAAAGTTAGCCTATATTTTGAGACTACTTACAATTGTTGGATGATGAAAGGAAAGTGGGAATTTCAATGGGTATAGCTTGAAGCCAATTATTTATTCTACTTTAAGGGCACAAATTAGAGGAGCTTCCTACTGGAAAAATCTAAAATGAACCTTAGTTACTCATATTTATGACGTATGACTAAAACAGTTTCTCATTTTCACAATTTTCTGAATTCTTTCAAGAAGTGGCAACCGCTGGGGGTAAACCCATCCTATGAAAATACATATGAAATGGAGATACCCAGGAGAGGAAAAAAAATAAAGAAAATTAAAACAAAAGGAGAGAATAATATTGGCTTTATAGGAAAATCTTGTCAGTCCTAAGTTGAACATTGTAGTGAAACTGAGAAAGGATTAAGGTTCACCAGCAAGTCAACTGGCAGAGGAAGATATCTGGATTCAGAATGATGCTGTTAGCTTTGCATCTCATAGGTCCTTACCCAAATCTTCTCTTCTTCATGGAGCTTGTCATTGTTTGAAAGATTAGGATATGCTGAACTTCTAGGGTCCTTTTTCCTTATATCATTTGCATTCATGCCTCACTGTACTAAGTTTCTAGAGTTATTTTACTTATGTAAAAAGAAGAACAGAAGGAAACATTGAACGTAAACATGCAAAAGAGTTGCTGCATTTCCTACTTATGGATTGATAATTTAGTAACTCTGTTTATTTCTTTGCAGTGTCCACTTGTCTATATTTGTAAATAATTTTTATTAGCTTTTCAATTTTCAATGCTTTTTGTTAAATCTGGATTCTTAGACATGACAATATGAGACATTCACCATCTAATGAAAAGGGAAATTAATGTAGACTTACAATTCTTTTTTTTTTTTTTATTCCTTTTAAGCAATATTATAAATGTGTGTCAGATATAATAGATACAATGGTGTTTATTGTTCATCACAACCATTTAGTCATTGAGGGTAACTTGATTTTCTTGTTTAGCATAACCATGAAATTCATCTTGACTTATTTGTAGCTTGGTATAAAAGTTTCTGACAATAATTTTGTGCATTGTAGAACTCAGGAGGAGGATCTCCAGTACTCATCAACCTGGAACTTATCTAAACCTGGTTAGCCAAGTTTTCCTCATCACTTTGGTTTATAAATAGGATTATGGAGCATGCTGTAATCTGTCAATACTACACAAGAATTTACTTGTCTCAGCTAAGTTTTTTGTATCAATTAGTTCTCATGATGTTTTTTACATGCTTGAAATTTGTAGTTCACAGCCTCAAAGGGTGTCGAGTTTGAGTGCAAGATTCTTGAGGCAGAGTACTCTCTCGTAACTGATAAAATAGGACAATCACAACAGAAGGTTAGCTCCCATCTCATAAACATGTAAACCTTCTGGGAATCAAGTTGGTATAAATAATGCCTTATCAAGCATAAAACATTGGCTTGCTTTCCATTTTTCTTTTAGCAAGTGATATTGTTATCCATGTAGGTCCATCTACAAACTTTTGTTTGGGTTCTCTATTTGTTCTATCTAGACTAAACTGTGTTATTTTGAGAATTATTTGTACCAATATTATGAGTAATTCACATTGTAGGCAAAAGAACTGGAGGCTAATATTGAACTTACAAGGAAAGAGATGGAGGAACCCACAGAGGTAGAAATTGAGCTCAAGCGGAGGCTTGGACAGCTGACTGATCATTTAATTCAGAAACAAGCTCAGGTTTGTATTTCAATTTCAAACATTTTTTATATGAATGGTTTTTTTTAGCATATTTTTCTTCTAACAATCTTACTGACAACTGAAAAGGAACACATTTTCTACTAACAATAATTTGCAACTATGTTCATGGCCAAAAGTTGTTTGTTGATGGAAGTGCAAGGTTACGTGTCACCCTTTAGAATCTTTTATTCGTTTATTTATTTTGATATTTGGGTAATCGGGTTGTGGGTGGTAAGGGCCTCAATATGGGAGCAGCAGTGCTGTTTCAGCCATCACCCACCATAGTTTATTCAGATCTATTGAATATCAACGTAACATGCTGACTATGCATCGTCCTCCTGACAGAGTGGAGCTATTGTCAACTGAATCTTACCTAGAGTCGAGCAGGAAGGTGTTAGGCACTCACTCTTTGACATATCTTCCACAGATAGTGTCTTAGTCCCCACACAAAACTATACTAATTTTTACTTATTTTCTTGGTTGATTTTCCTCCCTAACAATCTCCAAAACTAGGATTTTTGCTCAATTCAAACCTTCCCGCAGTTGAACCTTGCAAAGTTTGGTATAAAATGAGGGCCTATTCTGGAAGCCTTACAAAGCTCTAAGAGTAAAACTTTAATGCTTCTTGCATGTATTCATTGTTCCTTTATGTCAACCAGGTTGAGGCACTCTCTTCAGAAAAGGCAACTTTGCTGTTCAGAATTGAGGTATAACTTGAACCAAATTATTCGTATTACTATTTTTTACTCAAGTAAACAATGGATCTTTAATTTACACTTTATTAAGAACATACTGCTTTCTTTTCTGCAGACGGTTTCAAGAATGTTGGAGGAGAGCAAGTCCAATATAAATGGTGCCTCATCAAGGGATCTGGAATCAGGGACATGGAAGCTCTCTGATTCAAAGCTGAAACCTCTTCAAGACAAAATTCGTTCTGGAAAGATGCAGCTGGGATCGTTACTGCTGCAGTTGGATGCCATTTTCTCTGCTGGCGTTGTTTTCTTGAGAAGGAATCCTACAGCAAAAATGTGGTCTCTCGTCTACCTTTTCTGCCTTCATTTTTGGGTCCTATACATTCTAATGTCACATTCACGGGTATCAAATGAAGCAAGGTCTGGTGCTGTTATATCCTTAGAAAACATCAATAACACTGCCGGTATATGATTTAAGATCAAAATGGTGCGTTACTTCATGATCTATTTGTTTTAACTCAACTTTTAAGAGGCTCCCACACCCATCAAAACCCAGTAGTGCAGGTTGCATTTGTTCGAAATGTCAAATTACCTGTGAGAACTTAATGCTGTTAGTTCAATTACTGTCCAACTGACCTAGCCTAAACACCTGAGACTCTTAAGGAGAAGAAAAATTTTTATGACAAAAAGAAATTTATCTTGTATCACAAATGTATAGTAAATCAGACCAAATGAAAACCTGTCATTTAGAGAGTTTTTGAGTTCCCAATCTAAAGATGGAAGGCCAAAATGTTTTGTTGGATTCCAACCTTACGTGGCATGATAGTATTTTGTGTCAACAGAACTTGCTTCCCGTCTCACTAGTCGGTCATACATGATTCATGAATCAACCTTCATTTCTCTTCCTCTTGTTTCAGGTAAATCTAACATATTAGCAAAAGTTACGAGTCCCAGGTATCAAAACACAGAAACTGTTTACACCCATTTTTTGCAAAAAATAGAATGATGTCACGTGTCATTCATGTTGGCATGTATTTCTTCAGTGTAAATCTCTCCAGATAAAATTCAGTGGTTATTTTTACAATGGCAACAAAGTCGTTCACTTGTTGCAAACTTCTAAGAGGATAATCGGTAGCATCAACAAATTAATGGGTTTGTTTCAAATATCACGATGCCGTTGGTTTTTCAAGATTGTTGTTGCAGATCTCTAAGCATACTGCCAAGGGGTGTTTATTGCTATAAGTATGCAGAAAAGAAACAAAGTAAAAAAGACCAACCTCTCATATAACTAACCCAACGTTATCTACATTTTAGTTTTACAAGCAATGTCTTAGTTTAGATCAAACTTTCTTAAACAACTTTTCTAGTCGAGTCTTTAGCTTTACACTACCATTAGTTTTAGTTTTTGTTATTTTGTTGTAAACATCTTCACTTGATGTATTTAGTTTTTTGCATTTCAATTTATGGCACTTTTGTTCAAAATTCATCTTCTTAGTTTCTTTTAAGTTTAGTTTTATGCTTCAGTTTTCATTTCATTTCCTACATTTTCATGTTTTCGCGGTGGCATCACGTTTTCTTTTTACAATTTGGTTTTTCTACCATGCACTCTCTTTTTTCTCTTTTATTCGATTAGCAAACTAACATTTTGACTCTAGTTGTGGAAAGTCCTTGATGTTCTTTTAAGGCAATTATTTATGGATTTTTATGTAGGAATGCACCCTCATTTCTGCAACAATTATTTGATTATGGTACACCTCATAATTCATTTAATCAGTATTTTTTCACCGGCTTATAGCCGAGTTCTACACTTGAAAGTAGTGAAAGTCATCGAAAATCTCTCTTTCTCACTTTAAGCAAAGTGAGTAATACGCCTTTACAATCTTATCTGTCACATAACTGGAAAGAGAGATTTTGGAGACAATAGAAACTATGCGCAAGTTTGATAGAGCTTATTAGCAAGCTTATATTTGTTTACAAATAACTTGTTCTTTCACAAGTTTAAAAATTAATTGTAAGAAAAAATTCAAATTTGTATTTTCAATTCATATGGTTATGACCGCACAATAGGGACCTTCCTGTTTGGAAATGAAACAATAATGGGTGCATTTGTTCATTTTCAATTCATATGTTATGTGTGTCTAAAATGGATGTTTCTTCCCATTAAAAAAAAAAAAAAAAATCAAAATGGATGTTTCCGTGTTATGAAGGTATATGACGTGGGAGAGAAAGAGGTATATCGAGGGGTGCATTTGCATAGCTGGGGAATGTGAGGTTGAAAAAAGTGCTCAATTTTGAGATTGTTAGGAGAGTGAGTAGGCCCAGTAGGGAATAGTCTGTCCGCATCCGAAGAAAAAGGAAACATCAAATACGAAGTCTCATGTGCAAATGAATCCCTCTGTTGTCTCAACTAAAACGCAGCACCATATCATATCCTCACACGGCGTCCATTTGGGTGCTCCAATCAAAATTTGTTCTGTTTTCAATTCAACTCTTTACGGTGCTTGAGCTAAGCTAGCAATATTTGGTTTGGTCCCCATTTTTTAGTCGTACATCGCTGTCTTGAACGAATGCATCATCCAATCGGTCATTCAATCGATCCCATGGATGTCATTTACCCTTTCATATTGTAGTGTTTTAAAAAAGGCGAAACATGGTGTGCGTCACTCAATCGGTCATCCAATCGATCGCATGGATGACATTTACTCCTTTCATATTGTACTGTTTTAAAATAAGGGAAACATGTGTGCATCATCCAATCCCTACTTCTAAAAGGGAAAATAGGGTGTGCGTCATCCAATCCCCACTTCTACAACACTCATGTGGCCTTCAGATTTATTTTATGTAGTACTTTCCATATGCATTCATCCGTAACAAGGGCATGCACAAAGAGCCTTGAAAAAAGCACAAGAATAGGCTATCATAAATCTGCGAGGTTCTCTCTAAGTAGCAATGCCTTCTTTTAGCAAATTTTTATGTGATTCAGATGTGAAGAAACAACTGGCAATTAAAAGCAACTTTGTTCAGCATCCTTCGGCGTCCAGAAGAGGGGCTACTGTATATTTTCCGGTCGTGGACGTGACTTCGGAAACATCTTGGGAGTTTGGGTATTATGTTCGGAGGAATGGGCACCAAAAACCAGTTTTTCAAGGGGAGTGGCAAGATTATCGACGCGTCAAAGGCCTCAAAGTGGATGATAAAATTACCTTCTGGGCAGACCACGGCCACTACAGAATCAAAGCACAAAGGAAAATCAAACTGTTTGGTCAAGAGATGTATGGAGTACTGCCATGAACAAGAAAGCAGCTGGTTGATGTCTTATTTTGTGAATTGTAATCGATCGTGTCGACTCTAGTTAGGGTACTTTGTTTTCGAAGAAATAACAGGTTGATGTTGCTTCATGCAGCCTCTTGTTTTGTCGTGCAGTGTCTGCTTTTGTTGTGGTTTTTCAATTTTTTTTTGAACGGTACTTGAAAGTGGTTTTTCAATGTTGAACTCCTGATGTTTGTTGGTTTTAATATAATTGCATATATCTATGTTATAATTTTAACTTCTTATTTTTTTTTAGTAATAATCTTCTTCTGGAAAAAACTAAGACATCAAGATCACAGAAACAGAGTGCTCTGCTCTACCGTGTTTTCCAAACTCGAATCCTGTTTAGAATAACATCAG